TACTTTCACAGATTGTAGTACAGTATGTGAGCAAGTCTGTTTTCTATAAAAAGGAATAACAATCATCAAGCACTGTGTATTTTGTATGTAATTTTTTCTATTGTATATCTATAACCTGTGTTTATGTAACTGACCGGTGATGTTTGCTATTTTCTAATTATTATTATTATTATTATTATTATTATTATTATTATTATTATTTTGTAATGTGAGACTGAACTTTTTTTTAAATAAAAATATAGTCATGTAGTCTTCAATGTAAAGCATGTCGAAGTATGGCCAATAATATGATAATGATATAAAAAAATATTTTATTTTTTGTAGTGTTAATTTTCTGTTTTGTGAGCAAAATCACAAACTTCTCTTTCAATTATTTCGATCACCAGTTGTGTTGGCTTCTGGTCTTATTTTATATTTGATGTGTCAAGTATATATGTGCTGAATTTATGACAAAAGAGCTAAGAATAAAAATAATATAATAAACAATTTTGGCCATATGTTCCTTGCAATAAAATCTTATTATTATAGTGTGCTAAACATTAAACTAAACCTCTGTTTCTTTTAAGACAACTAAAAATTAATTGCATATAACATCCATCCATCCATCCATTCATCTTCCATACTGCTTACAGAGTTCAAAGTCATAGCAATATGTGCCATCTTTATATAACTATAAATCTCTTATCTAAGATATCTGAAACATCTAAAAACAAATGATAAAAAACAAAAGCTTAGCTCAAGCTAACCTTTCTAAGTTGTGGGTCTTGAATATGCTTATAAAATTACTTTCACTGTCGCTGGTTGTTCTGGTTATGGATTGAAATTGGATTCTTCTGCCCAACCACACAGATGTCTCTGGAATGGAAAATAAAGGTTCCCTCAATATTCATTAGAACCCAGAACTGCGCAGTTGCTGCTGTATACATAATTGATTCTGAAATTAAATCTCAAACTGCAGTTTCAATGCAAACAGCTTATAACTCTAAGTAAAATAGATAAGAACCTAACAATAATTTAACTGTTGCTTTGTCATAAAAAATAAAAAGAAAAACATCTTAGGTCAGTTATCATATTTGAAAGGATGTCTGTTCTCAATAGCCTTCAATTTCTAAGGCTTTGTGAAGCATAAATTACCTGCTTGTACTTTTACTTGTATGAGCATTTGTAAAGCGTTTTTCATTTTCTTTCCTGTGCTTTTTATTCTAGGGTTCATGACAATTAAATAAGTTTATAAACTGGTGAATAAAAGACAGCAGATTCTTTGATTAATGCTATTGTTCCTAATGACAATTATTTGAAACATATTCCCAGTTTTTCATTTACAAATCATCATATTCTGTTTTTATTTTTAAAGAATACTAATTACAAGGTAGCTGTTTAGAGAGTATAAACTGAGGTTATGTGTTAGTTTTATATGGTTTAGTCAATATTCTTACTGCAATTCAGTATGAACAGAAGAAAGGCTGATTAATGTATGGACAGATAAGCAGCATAATAGTACTATATTCCAACCTTAAAGTAACAAATGGTTTGAATTGTTTATTGGTAACATTAAGAGAGGAGATAGAAAATAATTACTTTTTAGTTCTGACAGTTAGGCAGAGCAGTGTTCCTTGTTTATTTAAGACTCCAAAACAAGGCTATTTTGGGGTAGCTAAGAAATTATAGTCTCTTCTGTCAATGGACTGCAGTTTTCATTTCAACAGTAAGATGCAAAAGGATTTATATGTTGTACTGTCTGAGAAAACCATCTGGACCCAAGGGATTATGGGGGATATGACTGTCATTGTGATGGGTTCATCAGTGCAAACGTAAAAACAAAGAATTCTTCAACCATGATTAGTTCTGATCTCCAGCTTCCTGCTTACAGGAGCTGTTTTTGGCTTCACACTTCACTGGAGTTATTACCTAAATGGAAGTACTAGACACCATGCATTATATACATGCTTCCTGTATTGTACTGACCTGTGAATCAGGAGGTCAGAAAATGGACACACTTACATAAAACTAATAGCAGCCATTGTTTCTCTAATAACATATATTCAGATTAATTAACCAGGAAGGGAAGAAGAGGCAACATGCATGAATATTAAGATACCCACAAAAAATTGTTTAATCTGAACATTAATTTGTTTATTCACCAGACAGGAAATTCTGTATTTCCTGGATCCCACTGAGCACATGACCTTGTAAAGGTCACAAAGATGGGCAAATGAATATGAATTTTACTGGTGGTAACTCTGGTGCCAGTCTCTAATTTATTAGTCAGAGTGTCACCATCTGCTTAAAGCTCTGCATATTTTTATTCTACATTTGTCTGTACCAGCATTCTAGAATAATTTGGCATCAAAATGTATGTCATAATTCTCTTATATGTTTGGTTCATGGTGATTTATTTAAATTAATTATGAAGTCTGTATTCTGATAAAGCGAACTTCTTTGGCTGTTGCATTCCTAATATTTGTAGAAAATGTCTATCAAGAAAATGTGCAGTAGGCAAACTTTTCTCATCATCATCTGCATCATAAACATTATGCATCCCTATGTACTGTAGCATTGCTGCAGAATCAACCCACATTCAAATACATAATTTAAAAGAACAGATTAAAATTATTAAAATATCTATGTAAATTTCAGTACAGACATATTAAGTGAAATCATCATTTTGGGAATTGGGAGCTTTTAGGCTGGTGTAGACGTGGGGGCTGTAGTGAAGACAGCAAGCCTCAAAAACAGGATTAAGCTGGTTATGAAGGAAATCCTTTCCCTTTGGAGAGAACAAAAATGATTACTTTGGAAAAGCAAATGGATGTTTATTGTGTCTCTCAAACAAATCTGGGTGTGTTGAGCCAGCATGGCCTGCCAGAGTAACTGAATACGAGCAAGCAAAGCCTCTCAGCCTAATTAGAGCGCTGGGGAAAGCCCCTCCCACTAGGGGCACATGAGCCGAAGTGCAGTCAGCACCTGCCTGGGTGCTATCCTTACATCATCCAGACACGCGGCCACGACGGCAGAGCTTTTATCTGCCAGGCTGGTGGGAATGGGCTGAGCACAGGCCTTCTCACAGGTATCACCACATCAGTGTAATGAGGCCATCAAAGTGCCCATAGCATGATGAGCCAGGTGAGATGGGGGTCCATGGGATGGGGGTCCAGAAAGGGTAGCCACGACTCTGTGCCTGCTGCTAGCATCATTCTCAGAGTGTGACTTGGTACAAATCCCAAATTTTAATGTTTTGAATTTGTGGCTTGGTTTAATGAAAAAGCTATACATGTAGTCAAGTTCATATGTAATAAAGTGTTATGTGTCTTTTTAATTGTATTTCATTGAAACCTGACCATTGAATATTACATATAATGAATTAAAACCTTTCAGCCTGACCCTGTACTGGATAAGTGCTTTGGAAAATTTTTATTTGGATGAATGGATAGATGGATGGATGGATGGATGATTGCTAAATGACCAAAGTTTAACGTGTATTGATTTTTGCTTCCATATCCGAGTCATATAAACACAATTCAAAACTCCAAATGAGGAATAATCATTAGAAATTGTACTTTTGCAGGAACTTGTTTCATTAGTTTGTTGCTAAAACATGGTTATGCAGCAAATCTCTTGTTTTTGTGGAAACCAAGTTAGATTTTAGGCTGCGTTCAGATTTGCAGTGCACACCATTTCTTAATGCATTCAATGAAAAAAGTGAACCTTTTGATTAGCCCCCAGCACTACATTGCTAGTGGCAATACTGAAGACATGGCCCTAGTAGTTGCTCTACATTTTAGCTAAAGCTGCAGGCATCTGAGCACCTCTATAAAAATGATTGTACTATTGAGCTGTTGGCATCACATCACACCAATAGCCGACATCTTTATAGGCTAACCATGAGATCTTCTCCTTCACTCCTTCACTCCAAAAACCAAATGATTTGTCTTCTTTGAAGAACAGCTGCATTTATATATGAATTATGTATAATTAAATCTGATCAGTCTCTATTCATTAATAAAAATCTTTCTGAATTACATTCACATATAATCATTAACTGGTCAACATAAATTTTCCTTATCTTGGCATGTAAGGGATGTTGGCTTTCTCTTGCTCATTCTTGGGGAATGCATATCAAACATTCCACACACTTCCCATAAATGGTTTATAAATAATAATAGTAGTAATATCAGCAAGATGCCCATCATCTTAGATTAATTACTTTAGGTCATACTGAATGCAAATGGTACATCAGTTTTGTGTTTCTTTTTGCTGTTTATGCTCTACTGCATATAATCACAGGATGTTTGTATGCACACATAAAAGATAAACAATGTTACAATTCCCACATGTAAGCATTATTATTCTATATATTATACATTTTGTTAAAAATCACTTAAAGTACCATGTTTAAATATCAGCATATTAATGCTTAGTGTTAGTCCCTTAACCAAATCAATTTTAACTTAATTTAGATGTTTTTCAGTGATTACAGGGTTAGTTCTTTTAGAAGATCAATATTTCCCTCAAGTATACCAAAGCCAGTATACAATATACTTACCAAATGAACATGGAGATTTATGTTGCAAGATTTAAGGGGTAAACAATAACATGGAGATTTATGTTGCAAGAGATAAACAAGAAAACATGACTGACCACCAGGACACATGTACATTCAGATTGGTGAGGGACAAACCAGCCTAAAAGGAGTGTCGGGTTACCCTTCCCTTCCTAATTACCCTGGATTTGTGTAGTGAGGGCTGAAGGGAACTGCTCTGATACGGCAATAGCCCTGGGAAAGGACATTAACATGGATGAGAAGGACTGCAGGGTGAGTATAAATGCCTGCACACAATATACGTGTGACAGACTGGTGGGGTTTTAGGGAGCTGTGGCTCGAGGAGAGAAGCAGAAGGTGGAGGATCCACCACCGTCGACATCCAAGTGAATTTCTCCTATCAGGGCTCATCCCCACAACCCCCCTCTGGCCCCCCCAAAAACCACCATTGTGGAAAGGTATGACGTGCCAGACGTTCAGCTCCGACTCCTTCGCCACCCTGGCCAGCGACCCCTCTGCACTCCCCCTGCTCATCCACCACGCCGGGGCCGGGGACGGCCTACCTGTCTCCAGTCACGCTACCAGCATGGTTTCTGCAGGTAACCACTTCAGCAGAATGACTCACTCATGCCGACATCTTCTTGGCCCTGAACTTTGAACATGTCTCTTGTTATTATTGTACTGATGCCTATATATCTAAGGAAACTTACATTTTCACATACTGTATTAATACAGTAAATTTTTTGAAGAAAAACATCCGTAATGGTAAAAGTAAGATGTTGAAGCCCAGTGTGATTATTCTACGCTTTCAGTCACTGTCTGGTTTAACACTGATTGGCAACATGTCATAATTCCAACCATCATGCATTTTTCTTATTTCCAGAACCTGCAAATTTTAGACTTACAGCTTCTTTTTCTAAACCAATGTATTACTGGCATCTTACTTTAATTTGGCATCTGGCTTTTTTCTTAGAATAGATTGATCTCCGTTTTTAAGCCACGTGGTCATAATGATGTTGTGCATGGTGTTCTTCTGTTGTGTATGAGAAGTACTAATCTAAGGCCTATCCCAGTGGTATGTTTAAAATCTGTTAGGGTGGACTTAATAAAAGAGGCACAAATTTGCCACCAAGACTGAATACAGCGGGGAAGTTAGCAGGAAACAGACAGCAAAGAAGGTCTTTAGGTTGAGTGGGCTGAGGTTTTTCAGCCTTGACTCAAGAGTGAATTGGAGTGAAGAGTTTTTAAGAGGTTTGCTGAATTGCGTAAACATTGATCAAGCATTTGGACCTGCAGTCCCCATATCCAAGTGTCATGTTGTTAGCTGAAAGCACCATGCCACAGCTGAGGGTCACTCTATGTTCTTTTTCACAATACTAAATGTGTCTAATTTACCAGTTCTTCAATTTCTTATTCTGTTTGACTTTTAACAAATTACAATAGAATCTACAGTACTGTGCAAAAGTCTTAGGCAGGCAAAGAAAATGATTATCCTCGTGTTGGTGTAAACTATGACATTATGCCTGTCAAAGTGTGTCAGCTTAGCCGTTTCAGAACCCCTGCTAAAATCACCCCAGTATTTGCAGCGACCGTCCAGTGCAGCCATATATTTTTTGACTTGGCCACTAACACACTTCATACAGCAAGTCAATCTGTGACTGACTTTTTAAACCAATTTGTTTAATTATTTAATTGAGCTGTTGGTGAAATTTAACAAAATCATGGAACGACTGAGGTGCCCCTGAGGGGAAGTTTGGGAACTGAAGCGGTGTTCATCTAGCCATCCAACTAGATATCAGTAATTTTTTAGAAAACAGAAAAAAATTATTACTAGTTTATATTGTGTTACTCTTAATTTGCATATGTTCTAACGTTAAACTGTGTTTTTTGTTCTAAGCCAAAGTACACTTGCTACCCAGATAAACAGCTTTAAACATTTCTTTGGACTGCCTAAGACTTTTGCACAGTACTGTGTATTGAATGTCTACCACCTTAAAACAACTAATCGATCCACCAATCCACCTTCCAGCCACTTACAGTATAAATCGAAAGTTACCGGTGGGGGGGGGGGTCTATCCCAGGAAACAGGACACTAGGCAGGGGTACACCATGGATGGGACATCAGTTCATCACAGGTCACATATACAGACATGTGTATACATACACAATCATACACTATTAGCAATTCATAGATACCAATTAGCCTCACTGTAGGAGGAAACCGGTACCTGGAGTAAACCTGTGTGACACAAGGACAACATGCTGACCGCACACAGAGATTGGATGAAGGAGCCAGCCAGATTTGCAGGTTCGATGTAACAGGGCTACCCACAGAGCCACTGATCAGAAAAAGGAACAATTTAAAAGAGCAGCTGGACCCTTAAATGTTATAACACTTGAGGTACATTATGAGTGACCTACAAGGGTGGAAAGAGTACTGAAAAATTCAAATACTCAAGTAAAAATACTATTACTTCCAAAAAATGAACGCTAAGTGGAGCCGAAACTTGATGGTGTTATTACCCTTCTTGGTTTTGACTTTGTAAACCACCAGGCTGGTGCAAAGGCACAAGCTTTCATGATTATTAGTGGCTGTTTACTTTTTAAATCAACCCGCTGCAAGAATGCACTGATTTTAAGCGCAGAAAATAATTATGGAAAAATGGAACATAAAGAGCCCAAAGGCTAAGTTAGGAAAATGCTAAACTAGGAAAGTAGTAAACACACCTGAGCAGTAAATTGCAGGACAAAAATACCATTACTCCACTTCATACATACTCAAGTAAAACTACACCAATTTTAAACTTCTCAATAAAGTACATATTATGAAAAAAACTACTCCACTACAGTTGCTCCCCTGCTAAAGGTGTTGACTGGAGTGTGTGTGACGGCACTAACACAAACACCTAATGTGGTTGTTCTGTCTGCCACTTTATCCAAAGTGCCCTCAGGTCTGTCGCTAGTCCAGTCGTCCAAGCGCTCCCACATGCACCTCTCCACATCGGCACTAAGTAGCACCTCGGCCAGCCTGCACTACCCTGTGCCATCCTGTCACTATGGCAACCAGCAAGCCACCTATGGCATGATGACAGGTAAGTCCAAATCACTGGCTGCCAAAATGGCTGCAGTGTGCCTTGTGCCCCAATCTCCCTGCGCCTGGGCCATGTTCCACCTTTCATTGTAGATCTGTCAATGAGGCGGCTGCATGTGGCCTGCAGAGATGATGACTTGGCATCTCTTCACAGCTCAGGAAATGCTCTCTGCCAGTATCTCCCAGACCCGCATCCTGCAGACCTGCAGTGTGCCCCATCCCAACATGGTGAATGGTGCCAACTCCCTGCAAGGTAGGCAAAGGTGATGCTGGCCAACCCAAATCTCTGTGACAGGGGAGGTTCATGCGCTTTTCACAGAGCTCTCATGACAAATCAGAGGAAATGGTGTTTGTTTTACTATTTGTTCCAAAACTTGTCTGCCTAGGAAGGAGGGGTTGTGCCTTTATAAAAATGTACCTTGTAGCCAAGAGCTATGAGGGGATGCCTAATTTTCATGACTGAAAACACTTATTGGCATTGCAAGTAACAAGTGGGATGATGAAATGTCCCAATGCACCTGAAACAGAATCTGTCATAAACACAACGCCAGAGATAAGTAGGATAAGCCTTGGTAAAAAGGTGGCTTTATGAGTCACCGTAGGAGAAACTGAGCTTTAAAAAGTACCCAGTGAACACTGTATGTCTGACTCATACTTGTCAGTCACATTAATTAATGTTACAGTGGAAACACTTCACTGATTGGTGCAGCAAAGATTGACACACACTGCTACTATAAAAGGAAAAAAACATCAAAGAACTCTTTCAGAAGTTTGATCCCCCTAATTAAGTGGGCATCTAGCTATAAGGTTTTGAGAATAGGCAAATTAACAGGATCTCAAAATACTGCATTTCCATTATTATACTATTGACTGCAGAATTGAAATAACATATGAATTTTGTTCTTGATGTGGTTTATTGAATAAGGGTGCCCCCTGGTGTTAACTGCTTGGAACAGCCTCTAATAACATAAATTTCACAAAATCTCTAAAATCAGTATAATAATGTGTATTTATTAGCCTGACATGACTACAGAGCTAGTAACGAGGGGACAACTTACATCCTTAAACCTTGGCTTCAGCATGACCTAGGGAGCCTCTGATTTGCAGTGGTTTGTGTTGTAATGGAGGTCTGTAGCTACCATCTACTGGCTGGTGGCAATAATAATCACAGATGTTAACACAGATGTATGATACAAATTTTCAGTTATACTAACTTTAATTTACTGATCACTAAGGGTAGTGTTTTCCAAGATATAAAAAAAAGCTTGCAATTCTTAAAATTAACTTTCCCATATGAAATTTCCCTTATGTGTTCTAAGTGGTTTGTATAATATTGTGTTTATCATTGCATTTTTGTTATTAGAATATGGTATTTAGACTTAGGGACTACAATGGTGATGCCCATGATGTCACCAGAGTTGCTTATCATCCCTTTCTGAACCACTCCCCGGCAGGCGGCCTGGGCCCCTGTCTCTACAAGTTCCCAGATCACAGCCTGAGTGCTGGCTCCTGTGCACTGGGCCACAGTTTCCCCCCATTGCCCCAAGCGCTGCTGTCTGAGGAGCCTGGTGTAGGGGACTTCAAGCAAGAATTACGCAGGAAAATCCACCCCCCTGAGGAACCTCCTGATATGGACTCACCCCAGATTCGGGAGCTAGAGAAATTTGCCAATGACTTCAAGCTTCGCAGAATCAAACTGGGTAAGTTTCAACCACTTCCCAGTTACTCCTTCATCCTCATCCCCCACTCTAGGCTGGCTTCCTTAAAATTGCTTTGGAACTGCTGGCCAAACAAGGAAAAGACACATGGGGCAGCGCTGGACGGGCACCAACCCTGACACGTAGGAAATGTAAACTATTGTAAAATCACGTGCTTAAAAAATTCTGTGACATGTTCTGGTTATTGAAGTGAAGTGAAAAAAAATGTGGCTTGTGATGAGAGTATAATTATCGACAGGCTATACTCAAACGAACGTGGGAGAAGCCCTAGCAGCAGTGCATGGATCCGAGTTCAGCCAGACCACCATCTGCCGCTTTGAGAACCTACAGCTGAGCTTCAAGAATGCCTGCAAGCTGAAGTCTATCCTGGCCAAGTGGTTAGAAGAGGCTGAGCAGGCAGGAGGTGATTCAAAGGCCCAGGCCTTCTTTGTGTCGGAAGAGTCCATTTTACAAGAGTTGTAATCACCCAAACCCTTCAAATGACTATTATTGTTATTACAGTATGTCCTGCATGTTCTTGGACTGTATGAGTGTATATTTAAAAAACTTAAGCCAGATAATCAGAGCTCTTAGTTTTACTTGCAAGTTTCAAATAAGGTATGTTTAATCGGTTATGCAGTTCCATCCCTCTTAAACAAGGAGTCAATGTAGTGTTTCAAACACCTGTTTCACAATCCCCCACTTACAGCATTCAGTTTATATCAGTTTCACGACAACATGGGCACATTGGAATGTAATATAGCAATGCAGCACTAAAATCAACGAGTAGCTAATTTGAGGTACAAGTTCATACATATACAGAGTGACTAGGACACTTGAGTTGAAGTGCTGTGTTCAGCAGATTGCCAATGTGTCTGCAAGGGGTTTTGTAGTTCAGAGGCCTGATTTGTCGGGAGAGATGTTTTTTGTCTGCTGATCACAGACTGAATGCTTCAGCACCATTTGCCAGATGGCAGGAGGACAAAATATCTATGGCTTGGGTGGGTAGATCCTTCACAGTTCGGTGAGCTTTCCTCTCATACAACTTGGTCTAAAACTCTTGTATGAGTATGAATGATGATTAACTGGGTTATTTTCATAACTTGCTGCAAGGTCTGTGACCATGCAGCCCCCATTCCAGACAATGAAACAGTAGGAGAGCTCTCAGTAGCTCTCTGTTGTGTATGCTAGAAGTCATTGAGTGTCTAAAAGGAATGGTGTGGTAATATTACGATACTGATTATCAACGATATCAAGTAAGTAATCTGGTGATGATTGCCTCAGTTGAGGATGTAGGGCACACCCAAAACCAAAACTCTTCTGGTTTTAAATGCTGCTTAAACAAAAAAAAAAACATGGCCATTGTTTTAATGTAGGTGTTAGTTTTCTTAGTATGTCTGTTTTCAGTTACAAAACAGCAAACATTGTTTTGCACAGGAATTGAATCATTTGTCCCTAATTGCATAATTACATAATAATAATAATAATAATAATACATTTTATTTATATAGCACTTTTACAAGAACTCAAAGACGCCTTATAGAGAAAGTACACAGAAAACAGATAACACATTATGCATAAGGAAGGTTAAATGCCTTAGCAAAAAGAAAGGTTTTTAGTTTGGTTTAAAAATCTGAAACAGAGGTCGATAAACGGATGGCAGTAGGGAGTGAGTTCCAAAGGCGGGGAGCGAAACGGGAGAATGCATGGTCACCATAGCTATGTAATTTGGAAGGGGGGATGATGAGAGAGCCAGTAGAGGAAGATCTAAGACTGCGGGGAGGCTGGTAGGGTAGAAGCAAATCAGAAAGATATGGGGGACCTTGATTATTAAGAGCTTTAAATGTCAGAAGCAGCATTTTTAAATGAATGTGCTCTTTTATGGGGAGCCATAATTACCTGTACTGATTATTAAATGATCACCAAACATATGACACCTTTGAAAATCTTCTAAAAATTGCTAAATTAACTTGCTTATCACCAACAGATGAAAATAATTTAAAATCAAAACCACAGTGAAATGAGATTAATGGAAAGGGAAATAAAAGGTTTTGTCTGTGCTTTCATCAGCCCTGTTTAACGAGAAGATTGGCATGAACGAGAGAAAGAGGAAGCGTAGGACTACCATCAGGTGAGCAGCTCACTTTGCTCAATAAAATGAAAAAGCTTTGGTTTTGTTGTCCTGAATTTAACCCTTTAAATGAGTAAACTATCGGGTCACATCACCTGAAGCTCAGCTTCATGCACCGTGTTATGAATTTATAGAAACAACATTACTCCAGATTCATTTCCTCCATAGTCTGGGAGCAAAGGAGGCTTTAGAGCGTAACTTTGAAGAGAAGAGCAAGCCATCCTCGCAGGAAATTGTGCGTATGGCAGAGGGACTGCACCTGGAGAAGGAGGTGGTGCGGGTGTGGTTCTGCAATCGCCGGCAACGAGAGAAGCGTGTAAAAACCAGCCTACATCAAGGATCCTTTCACAGCCTGGCTAAGGACAGCCCTGCATGCAGGTAGACCAACGATAGATTCCTAGATCTCTATGAGTCCTGGGATGTTCTTGCACTGACCTTTCTGTGTAAACATACAGTGATTATAACTATTTGCCTCAAGTAAATATGGTATCATTTCAAGCCACGTCTTATGGCCTTTTTGGCAAGATTAATAATCCCATAAATTATTTCAGGTTTACTATGTCCATAGTGAAAAACTGCCGACAGGAATTTTCCTTACCTTTGTGCCCAGTACAAATGTAACAGATCCTGTACAACACAGGTTGCACGTGTGTATTAATAACTGCAAAACACTGTTTCAACAGAACATATTGAATTAATTTTAGGGAAATCATATAAGCAACGATTTATTTTCTCGTGCTGAAATAAGAATATAGGTATATCGCTGTTGTCATTAAGTTTTGGCTGGGGATATTAAATTGCAAAGTTTAGCATTAAAACATCTGGTGCCACTGAACTATTAAAAAAGAATGTACTCCATTCAGTGTTTGATCTTAGATATAACTGTCATTATTACTCAATTAAACTCGATTATTAAGCATTAATGAAAATTGGCAGTATGGCTGAAGAAAGAAGGTGTATACAGGATGTGGACCCAAAATAAAGAGAGAAATCATTTGTGTGGAAGCACCTCACAAAAGTCAATGAAAATGCAGTCGTCTGTCAATATTGCAAAGCATAACTTAAATATCACCACAGCACAACTGCAATGCAAATCTCATTTAGCTTCTCGAAGTAACCTAGGCTGTCTTTGTTATAATTTTGACTTAAATTGTTTTGCCTATTATGATTCCTGCATCTCAAAATAGTCACTGCTAAAATGGTTAGCCCCGTTGCTTAGCTGCATCGTTTTACATAATACCTTACATGTACAGCCACGGAAAAAATTAAGAGACCATTCTATATTTTTAAATAAATCTACATTTTTAAATCCCGGTTTAATCATGATTCTGCTGGCAGAAGGCTGCACTGGGAAGCAGGTTACTTCCAAGTTCACAATTTCTAAGACAGCAGTACACAAGAATTAAGGTGAAGCAGGAGACACTGGGAATGACCCGAAACCAGCCAGTTAGAGGGCGGAAGTGACTGTCTAATGCCAGAGATGACTGTTAACTTATCCGAGAATTTCTCATAAATCGGAGGATGACTTCAAGTGACCTTCAAAAGAAATGGGAAACATTAAGTGCAGGTGTGAAGTGCACTGCTAGGATAATTGCTTATCACCAACAGATGAAAATATTTTTTTTTTAAAAACCACAGTGAAATGAGATTAATGGAAAGGGAAATAAAAGGTTTTCGTATTGGGCTCCATAGAAGCAGGACTGAAGCCCCATAAAGCAAGGAAGGAGCCCTTCATCAATGACAAAACAGGGAAGAACCAGCTAGCTGCAGTTTATATATATATGTGTGTGTGTGTGTGTGTGTGTGTGTGTGTGTGTGTACATTATTCACAGATGCAGACCCTTAAATTCAGAAATGAGTGAAACAAAAAATTGTGGTCTCATTTTTTTCCGCGGCTGTAGAGTTGCCACTTGTCCCAGTTTTCCCGGGATGTTCTCTTTTTTGAAAGACATAATATTCTTAATATTCTTTCCCGGGACACGAATTGTGAAAAAGTACATCTAATTTAGAATTTTATCGTTTCAAATAAAACCTCACTTGGTTTTTCTTCCTAAAATTACTTAAAACGGCGACGTTTGGCCTTGTCTATACTTTGACTGGTTGCAGAAATACGAAGTTTATCTTATTGCCATAGCAAGTTTAAAGCATTCATCGAAGGACAACAGGGACTTCTGCAGGCAGCAAAAACGGATGAGAAATACACACGGAAAAGGGGTGAGAAATGTGTGTTGTCCAAATTAATTAAGTGAAAAGGTTGTGTGTAATTTACTATAATACTTATCATAAAGTTTTCATTGCTAAAAGGAGTATATCATATTAAGATTAGATTTTATAATAGATTATTTGATTAAAATTAGACCATGTATAGTGTTTACTTAAAACAAAAAAAAAATCTATATTTAACGTAGAAACGGACAGCAGCTGGCAAAGGGGTCCAAAGTGAGTGCAACTGCGTTTGCGTCAGGACAAATATAGGTAAGGGAGGCAATAGGGAGTCCTACAACTATTTGCAAAAATGTTGTATCCCGGTTTTTCTCAAAGGTGGCAACCCTACATACATAACGAAGTATTATTTCTTTGTTAACGTTTTGTATATTTTGAGTAGGGGTGAAAGATACTGGAAAAAGTTCACACTGCGATTTGGAAAATTAATTATATACCCAAATAGATCCTATTATCTACCTACAAAATCTGTCAAATAAATTGGTGATGTTGCCGTGAGTTGTGCCAATAGACACAAAGCAGTGCCTACAAATCATTAGATTTTGCTCAATATTGTCTCTGGAATATAAAATATGTCTATACAGCGGAATACAAATGTCTTTTCGTGACCAGTTCTTGTTCGCATTTCTCCACTCATTTTTTGTTTAGTTCTTCACAAACGCGTTGGTTTCCTATGACTTTGACTAAGTCAAAATGTTTTAGTGTAAATTATTGATGCATAGTTTGAACCCAGCAGACTAACGCGGTCCTTGCGATGTTACAATTGCAAGTGCATGTGCATAAAATGCCATGTCAATATTAACATTAGCTTAGTAGTGACCTGGGTGGCGCTGTCACCACACACCCCAGCTTTGTGTGTGGTATTTGGATGTTCACTCTGTGTGCGAGTGTATTTTCTGCATATCCGCCCATTTCTTTCTACGATCCAAAAACATTCAACGTAAATGGAGTAGCCTACCTTAAACGACCCTATGTGTGACTTAGTGTGCACCATGCGACGTTGGTTCCTGCCTTGTGCCAATTACAATGTATTTATTATATAATATACAGTATAAACGATTTTTCGATAATTCGTCAGATTAATAACCAGATTACTCGATTATTGATATAATCGATAGGGACAGCCTAATGTTATAGTGGTCTGTACATTCTTCTGTTTCATGTAGTATGTTTAATATACTTATTTAACGATTTTTACATGCCTTTTCAATATGTTGAAAACTAAATAAAATTTAATATCTTGCTGAAATTTAAAAAAAAATAGTAGATTCCTTTGTGTAAAGCAAAATACAAGGGACGAAAGCTCGGGGTCAGGGTGCATCCAGTGTCCCTGGAGCACATTGGGTTTCCAGGGCCCAGTGATGAGATGATTTTGGTGCCAGCCGTATAATTGGAATCCACAACCTTCAAGACACGGGCATAGATCCCTAAGCCACTGTACTTCAAACCACCCCAACAGATGCACATAATATTTTTTAAAAGTGTATGTAGCAGAGAGCTGGAGCATTTCCCCACAGTAATTTTCATACCAGACAAACCTCTGGTGTGTCACTTCACGGGCTATGACTGTCATAGGCAAGCCCACAGATGATGTATATCAGACAGGCAATGTTTCTCCATGAGTTTAAAATGGATTTATAACTGGGTTTGCATTGTATTACCATCATCCCTCAGCTTGTTTTATGGTGGCTATATTTACATCTCAGGTTCAACA